AAAATCTTGAATCTCATTCTTTTGTCTCACCCATCTCTCCCCGCCCTTTCCCATACATAGTGTGAGAGGTTGGAGCTATCTCCTTTTTAATCTCTTCTTTGAAAGGAAACAGAGAGGAAAAAAAGTATCTGAATGCAAGCGATGATAGCTTTTAAGCGCTAAAACCCTGGTATGCTTAGTGAAAAACATAGATTCAAGCGATGCTGAATTCTTTTTCAAAAAAATTCAAAAGGCCGCGTCACAATCCGCGGACTATAACTCTCAAAACTTTCCCTTTAGGTTCTGCATCACAGGTGGAAATTCTGCGAAAAGATTCTTGAAATCCGAAGATCCATTTTTCCTTGCAGCTTTCAAAGAATTATTTTTCTTTGTTTTCCCTCTAACAACACTCGATGAAAGAAGAGTTAACTTCGTCCGCAACTGGTTGGCGGTCACTGCATGTGCTTCCTCTTCCTACGTCTATAAATAAAACCACGCTTAGTGATGTCGTTCGGTGCATCGCACCACATGGGGAAAAAGTCGAGGACATCAAAGACATAAAGTCCGCCAATCGCATTACAGCGATTAGATAACCGAGCGCGCTAAGTCGACCTTGAACTTCCAACGCAACATTTTAGAGTTGCGATTTAGGAAAGCAATATAACGATTGGAAAACTCACTTTGCCATCCTTTGTTGACGACTGTGTTCCAGAACTCGGGTGTGAGCTTAATCGTTCCGATAATGGAAAATGTGGCTAAGATAAAGTTCCAGATGTTCAAGGGTACGAATAGTGAGAATGGCTGCCTATTACGCATGAGGTATTTTAGACCGAAGACTACGCAGACGTAGAGGATGGAGAGCTGAAACTTGGAAACTGAAAAATATTGCAATTTAATATTTCGAAGGAGTTGAGAATACAGATTTTTTTGTTCATGGTGGTTTGACAATTAGTAACTTTTGTAACTTCGAATAAATTACCTGGATAGTAACCATGAAATGGTCGTTAACCCATTTTCTTCCTTCCTTGTCGGGGAAATTTTTTCCACCATGTGTTACCAAAGCGAGGAAGCGATCTGTGTCGAAGCTCACATTCAACAAACGCTGGACCATCGGATGCTCCATTTTACTTAATAAAATCATTTATGGGGAAAAAGTTTCCACGAACACATAAAAGCGAAAAGAGTAGCTTGAAGAATCACAGATTATAAGTTGAAGTGCGCTCTATATACAGTAGCAAAGATAGACAGGAAGAAAAAAGTAGAAGGAAGAATTAGGGTAGGGGACTTTGTAAAGAGATAGAAATAGGATACAGTCAAGTACGAGATTTTCACGGGCAGATCAAACATGTGAAAGCTGGTAGAATTTACACTTCCAAAGTAGTTTCTTCCTCCTTCTTTCTTAAAAGTTTTCAGAATTTTATTTGCTCCTGTTAGGGACTATCAGAATAATAAGAATAAAGTCATGGTCATTAACGGTTAAATGAACTAAACATTAATAATGAGATTCTACGAAAACTTGTAAAATTTTCATTCTCAAAATGTGTTCGAAGGAAATGGTTTGTCTTGAAAATTTGGTGATATTTATTTGTTCAAATATTTAAGAACACAATGATGTCTTATTTA